CAGCGGTCACCAATCCTCCAACGAAAGCAGAAATCTTGAATGGGATCGAGCTACTGAAGTCCTGTAGGGATGACAGCAGGACCAGACGGTATCCTTCCCGAAGCACTGAAGACGGCCCCAGAGATTAGGGCAGATGTTCTCACTCGATTACTGCAAAACGTTTGGAAAGTAGGAAAGGTGCCTACTGATTGGAAGAAGGGCTCCCTCGTCAAACTGCCAAAGAAGGGCGACTCAGTTAGGCCTGTGTAGGAACTGTCGTGGAATAATGCTCTTGTCCATGCCAAGTAAAATAATAAGTCGCATCATCCTGGAGAGAATAAAGATTCCGACATAGTTTAATAAAGCAGGACTTAATGAATGCTTCAAATTTCGGTAGAACTCATTGGCTGAATACTCGACATTCACGGATATATATACTTTCGAAATTACATCGGGAGATTTAAAACTGAGAAGCAAATAAACTATATTGAATTAGTCGTGCAGAAAGACAGGTGCGAATGTTTTCCAAGTCATGTTCAAATGGGTAAGAGGAGATGGAGTATGAGAGATTAAAATTAAGATAAATTGCATTACTCCTCGATTACATCACTTAGATAAACAATTACTCACTAGAGAATATATTAGGAATTGCAAACACAGTAATATCAATAGTAATTGTTATAATAATAACAATAATAATGGTGTTTAAAAGTGAGTTAAGATAATGCTACTGATTAAAGATAGTTTTAAATGAATGAAAAATAATCGTAACAATAGGAGGTAGAATAATAAGTAAGACGTATTACCATGGTAGGCTACTTCTTCACTTTTTCTAGGTTAAATGAAGCATATCTGATTTTTGGTGTCTCCATCTAGTGAAACACATATCGTCTTTTGTATATGTATGTGCTCATGCAAACTGTTTCAAAATCATTAAATGGTTCAGAAGTCTGCAAAGGAATCGCTGTTCTCATTCATTTAACTGACAGCCCCTAGACCCATGCGGAGTTATCCTTCTGTGTTGTTGGCTCTCAGTTTGGCTAAAATTCATATCACCCATTAGAATTTTGATGTCGCAATCTGTCCGCGGTAATGTCCGTTCTTCTTATTCTCTAGGTCTGTATTGTGGCATTTCGAATAGCATTGATCCACATTTTGTAGAAGCCTCTGATGGTTTTGGCGACATCATAATAGCCACTCACTCAGCGTTTTCGTGATTGCCATCTTAATGAATGGATTTCTGACTCTCAAATTAGCGGTTTGGAGAGTTCACCTCCATTCCACACACTCTCACAGGTTCTCAGCACTTTCATACTAAATCTTCTCATTTCTTGGGCAACACAAGCAGCCTCCCAAGCCACAGGCAGCATGCCTGCGTTTCAAGCATGATGTCTCTTTCACCGAGGGAAGACACTCCGGCGAGCCGATTTCCCGAAAAACTTCACGAGGAGGCGTTATTGTGTCTGTCCGATTTTAGTGAACAGTAAGTTTCTTTTCGACATTTTTAAGTGCCGTGAAGATTTGTGGTTATTAAGTTGATTTACCTTGGCAGGGAGATTGGCCTAATGGCCTACCTTTCTTATCGTCCAAGTTTAGGGCCAGGAAGTGAACCAGTGAACTAGTCAGTCGGGTGGCTGGACTTATCCGGCATGTTGGTTGAAATTTCGCTCGGCAAATTTTTTTTGTCAATAATTTTCAATAAAATTTTGTTATATGTTTTCTGGATTGATAGGAATTCTCATTTCCTGGCAAGTTATGTTGGTGTTCGCGTCATTTAATCTGACTGCGACACACTTAGCATATTGGTTGTAATGATTAGTGTTTCATGCTGAATGCGTCAAAACATCTCTACAATGAAGAAGATGGGGTAGTTGGGGGGTAATGTCATCTACACAAATAGTTTATTTCTTGTAGAAGCTGCAGCTTTCGACATAGTGTCATTCAATGAAGACTACGTCAAAATGTGGCTATTTTCGTGTGAAGAACAGTACTATTTTACAAAAGAATGCTATCAGTACATGGGAATCACCTATAAATGCCAACAGAACGTAAAACCGATGTGTAAACGAACGGCTACGGAACTGCAATCCAACATAACCGACTAACATAGAAGAAAATGACCTTTGAGCGTCTCATTCCATCAATGACCTTGAGCATGCGGGATAATTTCAGCCCAGTCGGGTGAGTATTTTCCACAAATTACTAAAGTAAGCCAGTGGTATGCTTTGTTTGACTTTATTTCGTAATTGCAAGTATCCTTAACTGCATCAAGCGTCCAGTATCATGCATTCATTGGTGAGCTCTTGTTTCAGCTATTTTGTCACTAGTTGTACGTATGGATAACCAGATTTCTCATTATTTCGATCATTTTCGGAGCTCCCACTACTATCTTTCAACCAAAAAGTCATCACCATTCTGCAGTTTCGGCGAACGGCTTTCATCTAAAGCACAGTGCTTTTTAACCAATCACAGGATAACACAATGGCTGTTAAATGTCCTGTTATACCAAAGCATGAGTCAACAGTTACCACAGATCAGTGTTTATTTTGAGAAATTGGAATTTATACAATGAAATAACTGCTAAGGATGTAGACATGAAGGGCAGTGTAGATGGCACAAAGAAGGATGACATTTTAATTTTTCGCATTTGGTTTCTGATATCTGGATGACACTGTCTTACCTCAATCAAAGCTGAAGTTCTCATGCAGCCAATCTTTTTCTTAATTTCATCCCCATTGTTGGTAGACGCTAACTAAAATTTCAGTATAGTGAACCGTATCAGTAATTGAGGATTTCTGTTGGACTGCACAAAGTTAACAATACCTGATGGGAGTGAAAGTAACATTTCATCAACCTATGATTTCAGTTAAACTAAAGAAGAACAATGTCTACTAGACTTTTCCGAGAAATTGTCTATCTGAACCTATATTTACTAAACCTATCGAGTGGATATGTTTCTCGCCTGTGTCACTATACATGTCATGGGAATGGACTGCCTACTCGTAAATGCATGCCAAAGATGACTAAGACTAGTGGTGTAACTGGCACAAAATTTCAGCAACTATCCGAGTCGTTGTCCAATAAATTATCCACAATTCATTTTAAGCAGTGTTGCATTTTAGAAAAAAGCCACAAGAAAAACCTATAACCTGGCTCCCAAACGTTTCACTTACGGTTGATGCACGCGCACCTCGAACTGTGGGGTTTTATAATACAATCACATTCCAACTTTAAAAAACATTGTAACTCGTGCTTGCTTGTCTCAGGAACAACGTTTTCTGACTTAACATGTACTGTGTTCATCGAATGTTGCGAAATTGTTGTTTGAGTCTCGGATTTTCCCTCCCCTTCATTCCTACATAAATTCCACCGTGCATTCAACCCGTTTAATTTTTTGAATAAAGTTCTGGGTTTTTTCGGCACTCTTGGCTGTTGCTGTAGTAAGGTAAGTGAGATTTATGCGTAAATGATTCACTAGCACTATCAGAATATACAATTTCACTATCTAAAGTTAGGTGTTCACCAATACATTCGGATTTACTAGTTGAGCTGAAATTGTGCGAACACTATCGGGTTACGTTCGCTGGCACTTGTACGGTTTCTCGTTAGTGAAGCACAAATCACTGCTCAACGGTAGCGATCTGGGAAAGTAGTTCATATTTCGGACTACCTAGTTGTCATCGTGATTTAAACCACCAAATGTTCTGTGGTCCGTGGCAAATTGGTATGCTTGGAGTTAGAGGATTATGTGCATGCGCCATAGCTTCGTACTCCAACATAACAGGCAGAAAGTCAGTAGGAATGGAATTATTTTGTGGATGGGTACTGTATATTTTGATACAGCAAAGGCAACCTTAGGATAAGGGGTCGAAGTGACCACAACGATTCTGAGTAAAACTGATGAAGTAAAACTTAATAGGTTTTGTAAAGTGACAATAAAAACTCAGGAGGGGAGTTTGTGGAAGTCCTCACCGGTTTTATTTTGTTCCAGAGGTGTTCATCTGTTTCAGAACATTTGAATAAATGAGACTCTTTATTAGATAGCATTATAAGAAAGAACGAAAATGTATTGAACAAGAACTGGCTTGAAGATGGACCTCAGATATGTATAATAACTAACATTTTCTCACTGAATAAATGTTGATGAATGGCAAAGTGGACAGAGAGGCTGGCAAAGATTTGGAAAAATACTTGGGTGATCATCAGCAGTGATCAAGCATTCTAGTAGTATTTGCTGATTTCGCAGGATCCACAAAAACACCGCTGATCCAACATCACGACTGTTCTACTTATTTTACTTTCATGTAGGAGATTCTTCACTCTTTCCCATGTTTCCACAGTGAGTTTCGCAATTTATTTCTTGTTGTGTTCTACAACTCCTTCAACCGTCTATCATGGATAGACTCTCTGTATTTCAAAGATTGCTTCTAAAAGCTCATTCGAAATATAAATTGTAATTCAAAAGCCTACTAAAAATGCATCTTCCGTGAGTAGAAGAAACTCCCGATCATCTGTGGTTGTGAATCTAAACTATGTATTGTTTCAAGATGTAAATTTGAGAACCACACTATTTTGAGTATAGCAGTCCTCGAGATGAGGCCGTAAGTCCTACATAAAGTAAGCAGCTATATATTGAAGAAACAACGATAGTGGGAAGAGGATGGAAATTCCACACTTCAACTGATTAACCTAACTTTGGAGGAGTGAGTTTATGTCAGCTCACACTATAATAACTGGCAGCCAGTGTGACGTTTCATCCCTGCCGGAGGTGCATCTGGGATGCCACCGTGGAGAAGTGCTTAAACCGTATTCAAATAAGCTACGTGTGCAGTTCCTTTTCACCGTTTAGTCACTAAAGAAAACACGTCACAAGAACTAGTATTACTGGCTGCAACGGTGACTGCCAACTGGATTTTTACAGCCTTTAGTTATTCCAGAATAAAACGCAGGTTGTCTGCGGTTTACTGTCCTTTATTCTTGCAGACTGAAACTATGGACGAACGATTTTGTTTAGGTATATTGTTGACCTTGGCGCTGATCGGAAAGCGCTTGCATATGCGCGCAGTTTGATTTTGTTTTGATTTCGTCCTGGCAGGTGGGCGCCTTGTATGTACTATAATGTGGATGTTTAATAATATTAAATACGATAAATTGCTTGTGTTTTCATGGTTTTTTTCCGAAGCCTTTTAGCATAGCCAGCAGTTATCTGGTATAGTTGAGTTATATGATTTATGCATTGCAACTAGCATACATTGACTTCGGACGCACTGCGGAAACTTTGGGGCCGACTGCAGATAAGTGTCACACTCTGCAATGAACCCGAAAACATTTCCCGGAAAATTCTGCAGCGTTTCCGGAGAAAATGCTAGCTGGCATGTACATATTTTGTTTTTGCGTTCTCCGAGCTGGTTGATTTAATTGCGAAACTGTCATTATCCTTCTGGGCAATACCTCCAGCATAGGCTTTAATATAAAAGCTTTTTATTGAAGCCTGCGCAACAGATGTCCACGAGAAGAACCAAAGCTTCGCAGTTAAATCAGTCAGCTCTCAGTTAAATTATCCACATGAGCTACAAATCTCTATTACATGCACATATATTTGTGACTGTTATCATTCTGCTATAGTGTCATATCGCCCAGTGAGTTTAATATGAGACGGGGTGAAACATTAATTGACTGCAATATCCTTGGAACACTAGGGATTTTCTTGTTCACTTTCAATTTTTCCGTTGTAGGCTGAGCATTATTAGAGTATTCCTGGCTTCTCAACATAGTTCTCATTTACGGTTTCATATAATATAGTGTGTGATCGATATTTCGACGTTCTGAATTGTATCCATTCAAGATGTCTCACTTTGGAAGGGTACAATGTATAAAGGTGAATGTACTGGTATGAGTGGAGAAGCATGGTTATTCAAAGTATAGCTGCATGAATACATGTATGTAAACATTTTCGAGTTATATTGTCGCTAGTCCCCATCTTCCGGGTTTTAACCTGTCAAGAGTTTTGGCCAGTGACACTGAATGTCCCACTGTCGTGTATTTATGTCATTAATTGGTTTTATCGCCTCATAAGTTTGTAACTTATTCCTTACTTGGCTCCACATTCGCAACACTGACTGCCTCCATTGATTTGTATTCACTATCATTCCGAACGACTTGTATACTGCATTTAACATTAAATTGAGTCTCAACATTACTCAGTGTTGATTGAGGATACATTGCCCAAAGTCGGTGGCCTTTTCATATTTTATAATTTTATCAGTCGTCAACCATAGGGCAGAAAACGGTATATGTAGTACGCATCTGTGTATGAACAACTGAATAGTTTTTCAGCTTCAAGTATAATGAGTCAGATAAGTTTTATTTCTTTTCTTTCAATGTCTTCAGCTAGTGTTCTATACTAAAATGTTTTTCGTTTTCACACTACGGACTCTTCATGTAGGGGTTGAGCATTTGCATTCTCAGTCGAGTTGCCCAGTATACAGCACACATTGAATGTCAGTTAGTGCTATGGTTGAAATATCGGATAGGTCTACATAAGTAGATCAATATATAAAAGGAGGCTCACTATGCATTAAAGGAGTAATCGAAGATAACAATGTGGGCGACTGTTACAGCGACTACTTTTTCAATTCTTACTGCTGGAGTGACATATTCATATCCTTAAGCTGGAAGCAGATAGCCGGCTTAGAGAAGGTAGAGACGAATGTTCTGCATTAGTCCAAATCTTGTATTTTGCCATATGCAGTAAGTGAGACTATGTAATTGGAGAATCCATGTGGTACATTGTAAACAATTAGGTAGTTGGTGGGTCATTGGAGATTCTTCTAAAACTTTTTATGACTTTTCCATAAATTAAGTCTTAATGTCCTTAGAAATCTATTGTTCTCCAACTGTTAATGATGTAGGAGTTCGTTTTTACTCATCAAACTAGTGATACAATGAATAACGTGTTTTGGCTTTACACAAATATATCAACTTTAGTGGAAGTGGTTTTCTATATGTTGTTATTTTGTTATGCCCAAAAGTGGACTGTTACAAGTGGTTTAAAGATCCATTTTGGCGCAGTGGTCTTTGCATCTCAGAATATATCCCGTTATTTAATTTTCGATTGAACAATCAATGTAATCACTGTTGAATAGCTATATTCCTGTGGCTGACAGCAGAAACAAATCAAACACAGCTTGTTTAATGCACTACCATAACAGTTACTGTTTCCTATTGTAGTTAGATGTATCCGAAATTGCTTTTCTGCTTACGTGCTTTTGAGAAAATTCCTAGTCAGCTGCTGGTTTTCGCTATTGTTCAATATGCAGATTAATCTGCAATATTGAGTAATAAGTCCCGAGATATTCTCGAAATCATAAGTATTAAGCCTCAGTCTATATTTTCATTTTCTGAACAGTCGAAATCCACTAATAAGTGTTATCTCAGCACAATTCTAGGTGAAATAAAATGTTGAAATGTTAAAATAAGGTGAATTTATCACTTAAGTCGTGACGACAGCTATTTAATTTTCATTGAGTGACTGCAAACTAGTTATGACTATTACGATTTTTAATAACATACTGAACTCTGACCTATTAAAACTTCTTGTTTAGAAGTATTTTGAATCCTATATATATATATATATATATATATATATATATAGGAGTTGGGGTCTTTCGCGTACTTACTTTCGATTCAAACAAAAAGACTGAATATTTGGCACTGTAATTCTTATTATTATTTAGTAATAATTCGTCCAGGTTAATTTTTATTTAGAGTACTGCGAATCATATTTGTTTATTTATCGGTAGACGATAACACTTGCAGTCATGTGCTGTATGGGAGCAGTTGTCTGTCTATCTGTATGTTTTCAACTTAGAACTTTGCACCGATGTGCAGCGGTTCAAGTCGCCACACTCCATTTAGCCCACAAAGCAAAAGAAGAAAGTAGAAGAAATGCAAATTAAAGACAGTAAACAGGGATATGAAACAAAAGGAATAGCAATAACGAAGAACAATATAGTTTTATTGGGTATTATAAGTCACAAGGAGTGGATGCATCTGCACTATTCACTGAGAACGATTTTGACCCATGTCACCGATTGTTTCTAGCCATTGATTTCTAGCGTCCCGATGACCCCAACCAGGATCCACCTGTTGGGGTTGGCTGATGCAACTTCCCAAATAAGTGAAGTGGTCAACGCGCTCTACCACTTCACTTCCTACTTCTAAGCTAGGAGTCAATGTAGTCCAGTCATGTAGCGTCATCTTACATTTTACAGGGGCGAATCGCATGCCAAACATTCGCAGATTGCAGCTCAAGGCGTTCAGAAGACTCTGCATCATGTTAGCGTCTACCTAGGAGGACTATTTCATCTGCATATTTTAAGTCAACGAGATTATTTCCAGATGGCAACTCGCCGTAAACTCTCACCTGGCTGACTGCATGAGTTCGAGTAGAGTGCCTTGATCAGTGCAATGTATTTTCTCGGCATTCCCTTTACAGCCAAGCATCGCCATGGTACCTCTTGGTCGGCAGACTCGAATGCCGCCTTTAGGTCAAGAAATATAACGATTGTTAGACGCTGGTAAGTATGCCTATATTCCAGAATCTGTCGAAGGGTGAAGATATGATCAGTACATCCTCTTTCTGGTCTAAAGCCCGCCTGGTTCTTTCGTGTTTGTTCTTCCTGAGCACCGCTTAGTCTACGCATGATTATTGAGCCTAGAACTTTAGATACCATATTAATCAAGCTAATCCCCCTGTGATTATCACAGGAAGAATTGTCTCCCTTCTTCTATATCAGGATAATCAATGACTTACACCAATCCAACGGGACTTCCTCTGATTCCCAGACACTGCCTAATACCTTAGTTAACACAGAAAGTAAACTGTCTCCACCGTGCTTAAATAACCCTGGAGTGATTCCATAAGGTCCTGCTGCTTTGCCTCGTTTCGGATTAGTGACAGCCTTAGTAACCTCAGTTAGGGACGGTGGGGCTGTGTCTATATCTCATTCATGGAGGTGTTGGATGTTCGCTAAGTTGAGCGTGGCTGTAGGCCAGTGTTCTTTCCAGCGTTCCAGTCATCTGTCGTGGGAACTAATTGTGGTGCCATTTTTCTCAGGGATTGTTTCACTTATCGTCTGCCTTTTACCACCTGTTTGCCTGATAAGTCTAAATAGTTGTCTGGTACTACCAATCGCCGATACCTTTTCCATCTCTTTCGTTTTGTCGCCCACCACTGTTCACGGTCGCTACAAAGACTTCTTGTTTGTTTGCGTTTGAGTTATTTTATTCTTATAGGAAATTATGAGACAAACAGGTATGTGTTGGTTGTTAATATTAAATCTATTGGACTAAAGTTATAACCTAAAGGAAACGCAAGCTGCATTGTCTTCGTTCAATCCCAAACTCCAGTTATCATCCGAATTTGGGTAAACTACATTCATTTTCAGTGTGAAAGTGAAAGCTCACTTCATTGTTTTTACTGTTTTACTTTCGCCCTGATAAAATATTCTGTTTTCAGTGTTCAAACAGTTAGCCATTCTTAATACAGCTTACTAACTTTCATCGATTGTTTTCCTTATTTTTTTACGGTTACATCGCATACCTAACCTATGGAGTTTAATATTTGTTCAGTGAAGTTACTGTATTGATTATTTGTTAAGTTAATAGTGGCATACATTTTATTATACTCTAATTTTATAATGATGGTCTTACTTATCCACTTTGAACAATGAGTGCATAACTTCTTTTGTAGATTAATGCTATATCCTCCCATCTATGATTAAAGCAGCTCATAGTGTTTCCAACCTAAGCTCCAATTCCGAATCGAGCCCTTATCTGGTCAAACGCTCACAGAATTCTCATTTTGTTCAGGTTGGTTTGCTGCATATTTCACCCATACAGTTTTCTTTTTTTCATGAAAATCTAAATATCAAAGATTGTTACTGATTCTTATGTAATGGAGGTGGTTTATCGACAAGTAAAAGGATGTGACTATCAAACTGTTTATAATAATTTAGTAATCACTGTTTGAATAAGTTATGAAGACACAAGTAGATGATGGGGTTTGTTAGTAGGTTAAATCTCTGGTTTAAACAAGGTTCCATAAGTGAACTAGAAAGGCCTTTTCATGCACTCGAAATGTTAGCAATGCTTGGAAATGAAGAGACTGAAAATAAAAGTCATTTGTTATTGTTCCATGGTCATTAAGTGTGAAGTAGACACATACACAATCTTTCGAGAAGTTTAGAAGGGTTACATTACGGCAATTTCTTTCACTCTCAACGGATGCGCAGTCGCTTCACTCTATCGACTAGTTATGAGCAATTATTTGAACATAACAATAAACCTCAGGTTAATTTAAGACTGTAGTTTCAAAAATGATGTAAACAAAAAGCGACAAAATGTGAGTATTCATCACAAGAAGCATTGGAACCAAAAGTTAGCCGGGAATTTATGTGAACTCTGTGTTTCGTTCTAATTCCAACACTTAAAGGTTGATTACAGGATTTCATCATGAGCTGATATTGGTTAGAGAACCATTGGAAAACCTGGGAGTACTGGACAGCCGTTTCGTCCTAGTTTGGGACTCTTCAGCAGTACGCCTCCACCGGGGTTCGAACCCGGTATTTATTGTAGTATTTTTTGTTATCTTCTTGTTAATGATTATATCGACTTAAAGGTTGATTTTCGCACAACAGTGAAGTTCATTTTTTAGACATAGGTTTTAAATGTGTTGGCATATAAAGATTTGGCTTCCATATCACAGAATGTCAAAAAATTTGTTTTCGCAATTCAGTGAAGTTTTACGAATGTATGTTTTCTAACAACCATCCAAACAATGCTCAGTCATAGAATTGAGGAACGTCTAAACATAATACTGCATACATTTGATTAATGTGACCAAAGCAAATTGTTTTGAAGTCGAAGAATGGTAAAAATTTTTGAAGAATGTAATTTATCATTCAACGTATTCATTGTTGTTTTAGCAGTTCTCGTAAATAGTCGTACCAGCTGTAGCTAGGCTCAAACAAAAATGCTGCTAACTGGTTAAACCGCAAGAAATTTCTGTTGACATTAGAAAGATGTAATAAAGCCAGTCGACAGTAATAGAGCGAAATTTAGAAGCTGTTGTTTTTACATATTTACCGTTGATCAGTTGAATCATTACCGTGTCCTTGTCCATACATTCTATTCCCTACAAATGGCTACAGAATATTCTGTAAACAAGATCCTCACAGGATAGGCTTGTAACGACAGTTTTCGTCAAAATTACCTGTCAAACTGAACTGATTATTGCTGCTCAATTAAAAAAGGCTCAGAATAAAAGCAGTGTAGAAAGCTAGTTATAGGACTAGGAGGTAGGATATTTCAAATAGTGAATATCAGTCAACGGTGCGTGGTAAATACCTTTCTAATGCCTCTGTCATTCAAATAAATATTTTCTCTTTAGGTTGATTATTATGCGTTGAGTCTATTATGGTGTGAATTAAAAATCTTAGAATGTGTAGTTATACATCTACATAGTGGTGTTTATTATGAATTGTACATTGTTTTAACGTGTGGTTACCTAACCTCAAGTCGCTTGCATACATAGTGAAGTTGTAAATATGATAAGATCGCATAGTATTTCTTGTTATCTTCTTGTTAATGATTATATCGACTTAAAAATTGGCATTTTTGTTTTATTCGCCTTGTAATGATTAAAGGCGAAACTAGCTTTACTTGCGTACACATTGGTCACACCCGAAATTGAGTCACTCTACCAATGTTTATATTAGTCAAATTTGTAGACAACCAATGACTAAATCAGAACAGCCACGCCTCATGAATCTATTTGAAGGATATGTATCGCTTAACATTAATGTGTTAGTAGTCATATTGTTATTACAGTTGTTTATGTTTATACTTCTCTCTGCTTTTGTAATATTAGATATTGTGCAAATAAACGTCTATTGTAGGTAGGAACTGTTAATAAAAAAGGAATTAATATACTTAGTTTAGGGACAAACTTCTCTTTTTAAATTTTTAAATAGAAAGAACGAACGCAAGGATGATAAATTGTTTTAAAGGATCCCAAGATATTCATCTAATAAGAATGAAGTTTCTCGTAAAGAAAATGAACAGTTTGTTGTTAGGGTTGGTAACACTGAGATAACTTATCATCCTTCTTTTTTATCTCACTGTGACGTCCTTACAATATTCCTTACTGAAGAATTTATTCTTATCGCTAAACAAAAATAAGCTGAAATTGTTTTGCAACATTTTTTTGATTAAACTGTTACAAGGTGTAGACAGCTGAAGAAAACCTACAAAATAAAACGGATTCATATGATTCTGTTTTTTTTTCAAACGACTAGTTTAAGTAGCGAAGTCAGCGCATCAGTTTAAGAAGCATTTTGAGAGTGATTTTACGAGTTTAGACTGTGTGGTTGCCGGAATTCAGTTAGTATTAAAGACTAGTGTACTTGACGGAGTCCTTCAAGAGTTATTCGTAGTCCGAATAGTTTATTTTAGTCAAAATAGTTCAGTAAATTAAATATAATTTTCCGATAAAAGATAAATTCCGCCTAGAATGTAAATGCACTTCGTTGAAGAATATCAGCCATTAAAAAATCAGTATATTAGAAGTGTACCCTTAGTCATCCAGTTCTCAATACAAATTCGAAAACTATGTTAAGAACGTTTAAATAGATTGTGCCCTTTGTTGCTCTCAAACACTTACTAAATGTTTTGTTTTAAGTTCATTTTCAATTTCGAATTAATATCATCTTCGTACGTCAAGATTTTGGTGGTGGTGGCTTGTAAACCTACCTGTCTAGTGGAGTAAAAGTATATCATATTTTGCACTTTTACTCTGGTCAGCACTAAACTTCGTGCAGGTTTCGAGAAATCAGAAAATGGATATTTCTTTCGGAATCAGCATCAACTATTGTCAAGGAAGGCTTGGAAATGGTTTCATAAATGGTGAATAAATACTTGTTAACATTTAGATAGAAACATTACATTTTGTACTCTTGGAATACTGACATTACATACTGTATGTCGTTCAGATTATAGTATGCAGGCTTATCTGTTAGTCGTAATGTATCAGTTTCAACGTTGAACCAGATGGCTAGTGTTTATCGCTATTGCCATCACTATATTAATGATTTTCTAGAGCGAAAATTACTTTTGTATTTTTCTAGACATTTTTGTGTATTCACTTTTCAAAATGTTAAGGGGGAACATTTGACTACTTTATCTTAACTTTGAACTTTTTATGTACTTGTTCATGCTAGAAGAATTTTTTCTTAATCTTCATTTTCAGGTTCTTGATGAGTCGATGTGTGTTGTTCGTGAAGATCTCACAGAATGGTTGCAACACTACTTATTCTCAACTGCTAACGCTTGTCCAATCGCTGCACACTTCTTACTTTATCGTTTAGCATCAGGCTTATGGCTTTCTAGATTGGCTTACAAGTTGCATTATTCAATATTGGAATCAGGTTTTAAAACTGCAGTAAAATCAAAGACAATCATCAAAAAAGACAAAGAAATTGTTTCATATGAATTTTTAAGAGGCGCATTGTCTAATCGTGATTTGAAAAATCTTTCTCCTCTCTCATTACCGTCATTTCCTCAAACATTAACTATCTGTGCTAAACTACCGCTTGGTCCTACAGATCTCTGTTCGTTTTCTTCATTACAAAATACTTGTCGTAATAATTCAAGCCCTAAAAATTGTGATGTTGATTTCCCTAAAGAAAATATATCCCTGAAACCACGAGTCGCTGATAGATGGATTGCTCGAGATAATATCAGTGCATTCATTAAATGGTGTAAAGAATTGGGCGTACCTGAGACATTATTATTTGAAACAAACGGATTAAGTAAGTGCATTAACATTTTTCTTTATTTAGTAATACACTGTTTCTTTTGACATCTTCATCTTGAATAGGTTAGACAAAAAAAGGACAATAGCTGAGACACTCAACCACTATTGATGCGTATGACACTGGTCTAAGTATTGCTTTGAAGTATAGTAAAGATTGTAACGTCTGCTTCGTACTCTAGTTTAAAGTATTAAATGAGTTTAAAAATGTGGAAAGTATCATCAATGACTAGTTTTGTCAACAGAAGTGTGTAGCACTTACTAAACAGATGTTCAGTTTTCGTTTGAATATCATGGATCTCCACTAAAGATATCTTGGAAGAAGTGTGTCAGTACCTAATTAGTTGATCAAAGATCGTGACCCTTATGCTTTTAATTCCATACCTGCCTATTGTTTATTTATTCCAGTTCAATGAAGTCGGTTCAACCATTGTACCTGTTTCTAAATAACTGCATTTTTGAACATGTAAAGTATATTAGAACTAGTTTTCACTTAATTACATTTTTATTATGTTAGCCATAAACTTTACGCTTTGGATACTTTTAAATAAAAAAAGGTGATTAAGTTTACTGAACTTTCTTCATCCTTTATTGTCCGTAATGAATCATAATTCTTATTTCACAAATCTAGTCTATAAGGTGGTAGTATTTATGAACAGTTGAGTAAATATATCTTTCATTCATTGTTTTTTGTCATATAAGTAATTAAATGCGCATGTCTTATGGATGAGTATTTAAAATACAGGCAACCATCTTAATAAACTCATTTTTGTCATCTGTCTAATCTGCGAGTTAATACAACAGTGGTCTCATTATATCTAGTTATATTTAGTTAGGTAGATATGACAGTTTAACACTGGAGTTTGTTGTTTACAATCATAATACAGACAATATATTTAAGCATACGATTCATCATAGAATGAAACATTATTATTATTATTCTGTTATTTATTTGATCAGACTATTGTTTATTATTGGTTACTATAGCTATACGCTTAATAATAGTATGATATACACATTCTACCTACGTGATTATAGTTACTATAGTGGTGTGAAACTACGAGACTGATGAATGAAATATAATTTCCTTTGCTAGAATGTGAATGAATGAAATTAGTGAACGCCTTGACAAGAAGTTTTCAACTCAGTGATTACACGTGAATCATAGAGATCACGTTAATATGAATTGTACAGTTTAGTTTATTAAGTTGCTGTTTTTTGACAGTTGTGAGTGTGCATTTGCTCATTACGCTCATTAGTCATAACTGTGTTTCGTGATTGTGGTTTTTTTCGAGTAATTTAATCCATGTCCGTTAGATTAATAGTGTGTTATAAACCATTTACAAATATTGATGTATTTATTCGTACTGAATCTTTTATTCGCTGGTTTAAGCAGTTAACTTCCAACCGTTAAATTACGAGTTGGAATTTCCCCTCCAACTATCATAGTCGCATCATTGGTGTCCCTGAAATACACTAGGCTGATTATTTGTTGTGTCAATCAATAGATGTTTATTAAATTAATGACACTGGTCTAATGTGTAAAAATATATCAGGGCACCTATTGTCGTCGTTTTTGTGGCAATTTCAAGATCAAAAACAAAGTGTGTTGAAAGTGTGCAACAGAGCATTTCAAATGATTGAAAATTACGGAAATGTTTTACAAGAAAGGTTAAAGCATATTCCAGTTCTAGCCGAATTCCCCTTCGTGGATATGGTTGAGGGGTGAATTTACATTTCACATACTCTCTTCAGTTTATTTTATCTACTTTAACGTTTTTCCTATTTTAAGGGATTTTGTGACACAGAATCCGGTAATTTCTTTGCTTCTTCTGTGGCCTCTTGGATTGTAATGTAATGTATATTTGTTACTCAGAGTAGTTTCCTGTTTCACCGTCGAAGCGTTTGCAGTCATGCAACTCTAGTCGACTGTCCGGCAACAGGTTGCTTTGTCAAAGTAACTATACACTTATTCAGCTTCAGTAGTGAATTTCTGCATTTTGAAACTAAAGATGTCAGTGATATTGCCACACACCTTTATCGTCTGGGTGATAATTGGAAACGGGGAAGGGAAATATAAATCATTAAGCAGGTGTAATAGGTTTTTACTTTTATCTATGAAATACCTCATTCGAAGCTATTATCCATTTGCTACTTAAACTTAGCTATTTGTCGATGCTAAGCAGGTTACAAAACGTATATACTAAGTTTAATTTTATTAGCATTATTATGCATTATTATCTTTTAATCTATAGTATTATTATTTTAACCCTTTAATTAACTCTTGGTATATACTAAATATAGTTTAGTTTAGAACTAGATGATGATTATTGTTTACTGTAATAGTATATCATGTGATCGTTCTATTTCGGAATATGTGAAATCGATCGTTTAAAGCATAAATTAAACGAGATCACCACGTACTTTTTATAATTCTGAGTTTACTTTCATTGAGAAGTAGTTGTTATATATATATATATATATATATATATATATATATGCCTAGTGTTTTTATACCCATGATTTTAAAAGTGGTATAAAACTTTATTGACACCCTACTACTTTTGCATATCTAAGGTCTACAAGTTTGTATCTACTGTCGAATTCCTATCATCTTAACCATTGAAACACACTTTTTGGTGGATGTGTTTTAATTCTCAGGTGGTATGAATGTTATGTTTGCTCTCTCAGCGAGAAGGAAAAGGATTTTGTTAAATTGAATTTTTTAATGAGTGTTACATTCATTCAGTTACCTTAATACTTATCCTTTATTAAATTGATCGTCCTACTGTTCCTAGCTCTCTTTTAGTAGAGAGAAAGAGGGAGAAAACCAGCCATAGTATAAAGTAGTGATTTTGTCTCGTTCCTCAAAACTTGGTCGGTGGTAGGGGGACTTCAACCTTTGACCCTACCGGTTAGGATTATAATAAATGAAATTTGCAGTAGCAATAGTGCTACCTAGAGATACATCATCTACTTTCCTATGTGATAACTTATGGATGCGAAAAGCATCCGCTAAAGCTAGAATGTGTTCAAGACTTCACCTATGTAATCACTGTTACCTTCGTAGCATTGTGTGCACTTGATGAAACCATCACATGAGAAACGTAGGAGTTGAGGAGAGATTCTTATGTATATCTAGTAATTCAGTTTATAAAACCATCACCAGAAATGTCTCAAATGATCAATACGCATGCCTTCTCATCAGGATAAGTGTAGGTTGGAAGGGCTAACATTCGACATTAATCCATGAAGCTCTTGAGGATTAGTGTGAATCGTGTGTTGGAGTTGTATACTGTTTGTTTGTAGTGCATGTGATGACGAAAATTTATAATTAAAGGCTCTTGTTAATTGTAGTAGCGCATTATTATTATTTCCTTTAATTCCTAGAGGAAAATAGGGCTTCAGCCGTGCGTCTCCATTGCGTTCGGTTCTCTGCTAGAGTCTTCACCTGGCTCCAAGTCTGCCCACACACTTTCATCTTCTCTTCACATGACCTCCTCCAAGTCACCCTTGGACGACCAACTCGCCGCTTCCCTTTCGGGTTCCACTCGAGGGCTTGTCTAGTAATGTCACCTGATGGTTTCCTCAGAGTATGGCCAATCCATCTCCATTTCTTCCTGCCTATTTGTTTCACAATCGGTTCCCGATTGGTTCGCTCCCAGAGATCTCTGTTGCTGATATTTTCTGGCCATCTGATCTTAGGTATTGAGCGAAGACAACTGTTAATGAAGTAGTAGCGCATGTAGTGGCGCATATGCATTCATATTTCAACTTCACCTTAGTTCTGATATCATCCCCTTGTTAGTTTTGTATTTTCTCCGTCTTGGAGTACCTTATAATCTTCAATTATATTATTTCCATTCCTTTGCCGTTTTTCCTACCTTTCTGATGTACAAGTATGAAGTGTAACAACGTGGATTACTACTTAGTACTGCTGATTCACATTTTCCGTTGTAACCACCATCTAAGTACCAACAACGTGTGATAGATAAGAAGGTATTGTGTTCATTGCAATCTCCATTTGTTTTGGTTATGTACTACTCAGCAACCGACTGCATTCGCATGCAGTACTAGTGATACTACCTGGCTGCTCAGACCTCGGTAGGTGGGTTGGGTTCGAACCTGTGATCATCTGGTTGGAAATTGAGCGCCTAGACCAATGAGCCGCAGCTCCTTTTAATTACATAGTGACATTGAAAGTGAATTGAATGCTTTTAAAATCTAAATTTAGTATAACAGATATTTTCTTCATGAAATCTACATTCTTTTTCACAACAGATAGCGCATAAAAGTAGGACAACTTTTTAAATGTTTATGAGTGACTTAGATTTGTCAGACAATAAATTGTATCCAATCTCAAATATAAAGAAAGCTCCTATATAAAATGAAATCTTCAACAATGACAATAAATTGTGCTTGGACTAATTAATTGAATTATATCTCTGACAGCATATGATTATTTCTTGTTTGTCACTACACGCATCCACGTGGTTGATGATCGGAATTTTTTGTGGGAAGTATTAAGCTCACTATGGTTTTCAATTTCGCTATTCTTTAATAATACCTGAAGTTTTTCTGACTGATTTTACCACATGATCATGATAAACATGGATTTTTATTACTAAGGCATATGCGTAGTAACCTGTTTCATTTTGCCTCATTATTCTATTCTCGCAAATGTAGATTCGTGTAGACTACTAATAAAATTAACAACAATATTCTTAAGTCAGGAACTTCTCGACTAAGGAATTCATATCTGTTGTGTGATGAAGAGACTTGTCAGTAGGTACAACTTGAACGAAGTTAGATAACATAAGAGTAGAGAAAAGAAAGAAGTCGCATGAGAGAGAATAGTTAATGAAGTTGACACGGATTGAAAACATCTACGCCATTGTAAACGTCTTTTCCCACAAAGAGTTTAAAACATATCAAGGACCCCAGCCGCACAATCGAAAGCTGTCTAAAGGGTACAGGTAAACGGTCAATGACTTCAGGGATTTATGCCATAATTTCCGCCTGGACACCTGACTCTCTAACCTATACCGGCTTCACCTAATACTTCTTGTCGTAAAAGACAGTTCTTCGGCATGCTTTATAATACATGTTTGTGTCAACCGAAGTAGCTTCACAACGTCATTGTTGCTTGTAATTTTGCTCCATCAAACGTGAATAATTATATGGGGCACAGTGGTTAGGACGCTCGCCGACCATGCACATGGTCCGAGGTTCGATCCCCGGCCGACGCACTGCTTTACCTCGCTAAACCAGAAATAATGCTGGTGAAGAGGAAAGGTTGGGCATGAGGCTAGCAACCCCATCCTGTAAAATAAACACTGCTACAGAAACTTCAAGCCTCTAGCTTGAAGCCCTATGTTCCACTGGGAACGTGAAGGAATAAAAAACCTGTGATCAAAACTGTTGTCTTTTCTAATATTTGAATTTTAATGGCAATATCTCGTAGTCTTTGAGAGGGATGGGATGGACTTCTTTACAGTAAGCATTCGCTTACGTGGTTAAGCGGAGATGTTGCTTGCTCCAAGACAAATGGTAAATCAGTATTCTGCACCGATGTTGAGATTTCTACTAAGAAACATCCCACTGTTTCATTGTCTATCCTTAAAATGGTAGTTGATATAGATTAAGCCTATTTGTATTTGTTAGAAACAATTCGTAAACTAAAGATAATCAAAGTTCTGCTCAGATGTTTGCGTGACTGTATTTCATCAGGTTTTCAATTGAAACGATTGGTACCGTCTATTTGTAGAGAGGCTAGTGAATTATTAGTAGTGAGTTTAAGCAATTAAAAATATTGTTGTGGTCGTTCAGTAGTGTACCTTTTTAATGTATTTTGGAATATTTTGTGTTCAGTCTTTCTCTTGGGTTCTGTTTCTAATTTTTATCAATAATTCTTTTTATGCGACAAAATAATAGTAATAATAATGACAATAACAGTACAATAGTATAAATTATTTCACCTAGTCGGTCAGTATAAGGAGAGATTTTACCTGCCAGAACAAAAAAACGAATACCGTACCAAGACGTACTACTTGTAGTTTCTCAAGATCAAGTCATTTAGTTATTCGTTTTAACTACCTTTTCTTTTTTATATCTCTAGTGAATAGAACAGAGGAGAAAAATGTTTTACTTACACTAATGGAGGTCGCACGTATCGCCAGTCGTTATGGTCTCACGGATTTGCCTTATTTAGTTCGTATGGAACGAGAAATTGATGAGATAGAAGCGAAACGTGCACAAGACGAAAATTACAAAGACAACACATATCATGAGGATGCACATCATTTCACCAGTCAAGCAGTGATTAACTTGGAAAGAATTGATCATGAAGATAACTACAATTCGAGCGTTGAAGTAACTGTTGGTACATCCGGGAAGAAGATCCAAAAATTGAATTCTGACACGAAGTCCATCGACGTGCATTTGAACGTGAATGCCGTAAGTTGTAATGCATTTTCAGTTTTCGGAAACAATTCAGATAACCTGGAGATTTAGAAGGGTATAGGTGACTACCTGTGCTGGAGAGAAAAAGGGGTGGGGGTTCCAGACATTGACGTTTACAGTTAAAAAGCATGAAAGGCTATTACAACGTTAAGTTACTTGATAGCATTGTTTCGTCTAAAAACTGAAAATTTCAGTAAGGCTGTTTGTAGAACCAAACTCGGTAAATTATGCTCTTTCACTGTAGTTTATTGAATTGGATGTTAGAAATGTGTATTACCTGCAAGTTTCCGACAGTTGACTCACTTATTAGTAGGTCAACGGAACAGTGGAATGTGTCAAGACGTGATATCAGACATGTGTGTCTGAACGCTAACCGCATCAGAAACTGTATTCCTGGAAAGCAGATAAACAGATATCTGCTTTTACAAGGAGTAAGCAAAATGTCCTGATAGAAAAGAATGTAATTTATTTCTAATTTTAAAAATGGAACTATACAAAATTGTGCTAACATTCTCAACATATTTTTTAATGTACAGCAGAAGATAACAATCATTATTCTACTCACATTTTGTTGTATTTGATAGGAATACTGTTTAAAATGTCAAAAAAGTTTTTATTCTGAAGTGATAAGGTTGAAAGGTAAATTTCGCCCATAGCAATCTAAGTGATATATTCAGACCTAGTCTGATGCATACATATACAGAGTAACTATAACTTGGTACTGTCATAAATGTATCATTTGGATGCACCTGCTCCTTCGACAACTACTCCACTTATTTATATGCATACGAAAATAATACTCAGTATTTTGTAAAGATATTTGCCTTATGTCTGCTTTACGTATCTGTATAAATAACCTATCATAACACCGACTAATTTATAATGTCTATGTGTCATCAGATTTGATGCTATTATCGTAACTAGGATGAAGTTTCTCAAATCTGAGATAGCACGTCGATCATAATCGACTGCATCAGATAACAAGCTCAAGTATTACAGTGTAAATTTATTGACATGGGACAAAGTTGAGTAGTCTCTGATTGAAAATTATTATGTGATTTATCTAACATTATATATATATATATATACATATATATATGAAGGCTTACATAACCTCTTTCGATTTGATGATTCTTCATGATAAAATGACTTGAAAAACTCATTAAAAAGTTTGGTTTATTTTAATGCTCTTATTTACTGAGTTAAGTTACCTGGTCCACTGCAATTGATCACATTTCATTATCGTATAGACCAGTAATTAAACTGTGTTGCCTTAGTCCTTTAGTTTCAGAAGATGTTTATTATTCTGACATTTAGCACGGTAGAAACAGGAATTTTTCAATTTTTTTCATCAACACTACATATGTGTAACGAGCACACTTCTCTATTGTATTCACTGAATTCTGTTTAACCAAATTAAGGTAGATGTAATGTACTAAATTTTTGAATACTTATCTCTGTTATTGGATAAGTGATATGGGTGTTTCAAGAAATATTGACCTTACAGAAAATTAAAATGATTCGCTTTTGTGCCATTGTGTGAAGATTTATTTTATATATATATATATATATATATATATATATATATATATTATAATAATTGATTCAATGTCTTTATCATACTTGTTGTGAATTGATTGATAGGCTAAATAACTAATGAATCATTGTAATTGATTGCCTAGACTGACTGTTAAATCGGTGTGTAACTCTGCACAAAAGTACATTAGTTCAACTTATTAAGTACTCCGAAACAGTATACAGAAAAGAAGGTTTTAGATACAGAAAGATACGACGACAGACAAGTGTATGAATCATCAAGTGAAGATTAGTGAAAAACATTCATATCTTTCAACTCTTCTACCTCTCATTTTGGAGAACTAACCATTCTAGTTATTTTTCTAACAATGAGTATTCACAAAAAATGTTGCGCAGTTCAAGAAGTATGGAAAACCAAAAGACTGGTTGTAGAAAAATGTAAAAATAATTTTTATGGGGGCCTGAGATTGTCTGTAAGAAACACCTACTCCAGTTAGTGTACCCAATTTTGGGAGAAAATAACTCATATTTTTTATTGATGAAACTCTGAATTATCTTTAGTTTACGTGACGGACTGATAAGACGCACACTAGTACAGTATTGTTTATGTACTGATGATGTTTCAAGCACAATCTGTTGCCGTCTTATCTTTCAGTAATTTAATAATTCCCATTGTAACATTAGGAACACAATATTCAGCGAAGAGACTATTTTCAACGAATTTATTATCAGGCTGTACACTCATATATATAAGGGTTTTTAAAAATAAAACATTATATCCGGTGAGAGAATTGAATCGAATAATAATATTATGAAATGCAGTTAAAATATGTGTGATTATAATCACAGTTAAATGTCAAGTGGCAAAACAATTAATGGCTTATATTGAATATTTCGTAAGATGCATAGATTTTGGAAAGGAGTGTATAATTATACGGTTAGTAGGCTAATATAGAACGTTACGTAACATGGTGTAAAATTTGATAAGATAGGATTCAACATTGTAAAAACAACTTTTAGATTTAGGATGACAAGTGGGACAAGTAGAAATGATTCAAAGTGAGAATAGTAATAATAATAATAATCGTAATAGTAATAATAATAATGATAATCGTAGTAATGAGGGATTACTAAATAAATAAGATAAAATAAACAATGACAAAATAAATAAAATATAAAAATAAAATGAATGAGTGTCTATCTCTCTACGACAAAGGCAGAAGTAGGAATTGCACGTACTTCTTTTGTAAACAAAGGTATGGTTTAAATTCATCAATGGCCAACGCCTCCTCTGTCTTAGAAAGTCTATAACGAAGAAAACGCGGCAAGTTAGCATGGATTCGGTCGATGATCTTAAAATCACGGTCAGGGTTGGTAGAGTGACAGGAGTCGATCAGGTGTTATAGAATGGAGCTTCGCACACACGTCCTTTCTCTCTTGTAAAACCATGCTGGAATATGTTCTCGTATCCGTGTGGAAAGTGTCCTCTGGCTACGGCCAATGTACCTTGCTCCACAAGAGCAGGTGAACTGATAGATGCACATGGAGGCGGTCAGATGAGGGAGCTTATCTTTTATGGAGGTGGAGAACAACTTGTGGCTAGTGAACGTCATTTGTAATTTTGCTGCAAAGAACGTCTTACTGACTGCTTTAGAGAGACAATTTTTGAGCATCTCTGAATCTTGATCATCTTTGAATTCCAAATTTATGAATGAGGCTTTCTTTGAAACTGAGTTGGTGACCAGTTTAGACTGCTTACCTTCCGTGTTTCTGTCAATAAATCCGTTCGAGTAACCGTTTTCTGCGAGTGTGGCCCTTAGGATGGCAAGTTCGGAGTCAACGCAATCAGAATTACAAATGTGTCTTATCCTAAAGCAGTGTGAATGAATTAGGTTCTTTCTGGAGATAGGCACCCAACTATAAAAATTAGATGGTTGTCCGTTCCATGTATGTTTCCGGTGGATGGATCTTTTGAGAGATCCGTCGTTTCGTCTATTAAGGCACACATCAAGAAAGGAAATGCTTAGTTCAAATCCCTTTTCTATGGTGAATTGTAAAGAAGGATGGCAGTTGTTGAATGCCAACTAGATATCATCAAGAATTTCATTCTTACTGAATTACGTAACAACGATAGACTGTAAAACAATAAATCCTGACTCTAAATCTCTCATTCTGCGTAGATTTAGGGAATGAGCTAGTATCAATAGGTTTGGCCCATTATCAATTGCATTAAATGTGTATTGTTGGGGAGTATTATTTTATTTTTCCTAAGCTGATTTTAAAATTCTTGAATGGGATTATCTATCAGCCGAAATGTAATCCTCTTTTTACTCTCCCCATTTAATGAGGTATTCAATAATTTGATTTAAGGCATAACATCACTTTGTGTCGACAAAAAAGGGCGTTTTTACACGCCTAATTCTATAATAAGAATAATATTAATGATCATTAGAAGAAAGGTAATAAAATGTATGAAATATCATTGAGGCGTTTTTGTATAATCCCAAAGATTGACGTAGGCGTATACCTATATCTAGTTGTATTAGTCAGTAAAAATAATGTTTAATTACTGAAGTATGTTTTGTTTTTGGAGAGGAGACAATTTCCTATCTGATAACTTAATTCTCTTGTTTATAAAATGGTGGTAAATTATGATATATATATATATATATAATATATATATATATATATGTTTGCAATACGTCTGAGCACTCAGTTACATTCAATAACCTACATAGAATTTACATAGAAGACTTGTTAATCTATAGTTGCGTGTTTCACTGCATTATGAATACCTTTTAGAATGCTACGATCAGTCTTTATTCATGTACATTCTTGACTTTCAAAGTGCTTTTCGTCGCGAGTCAAGAAACTCCAGAGGACTATTGAAAGTCTTGGGGGTCTGTGTAACTATTACCGGCTAATGGTGTGTTCTCCAGTCGTGTTTGTTTTGTTGAACTCAGATCCATTAGGTTTTTTGTAACTCATAACTACCATCGTATATCAGTGATATGTAATAGTTTCTTAGCAGTTTCTAGGATACTTATTTCAAGGGAAGTTGTTAGTTAATATTAATGTGTTAATGGGTTGAGTTGCTAGTGAGAGATCGATTGATTTCTGAGTATTTATATACTGTGTACTGTGTAAGACAGAGTGAGAGATAAACCCCAATGGTTTATACACTAAATAAGGCGTAGCTTATTGTCTTGTTACTTAACTTTCAGCTAGAGTTCTAATCACTTCCTACCTAGCCTGACTTTAGCATTCGGATAGTTATATAGGCATTCATAATGTTAAATAATTTCTTGTAGTTTATTACCAGAACAACTATGATGTAACGGGTAATTAAGTTTTTTCTTTCAAAATTATTTTCAATTTCTGACTTATAGTACTGTGGATACACTCACCCCCCCCTCCCAGGAGACTTCCTAAAGTATTATTGTGTGATATTTTAGTATTTGTCTCTAATTTTCTATAGTTATTAAACTTTACTATGATTGTTAAAATAATTTTTCTTAGTTCTTTGGTTTAATATAATAAATTTACAATTACATTTATATTTTATGGAATATATACCATATTATGCAAATGAATTTTCTATCTAAAAACATGTTTATTCAATCTGATATTGTATTATACGCTTTACAAAAGTCCACTTTATTTTCTTACTGTTTATTCTTTCAGAATTCAGTTGATACCAGTTTGGTCGATTCGTGTTGTGATGACAGTCGCTTCATAAATACGAATAATAACAAGACTGTACAAATTCATGTCGACAGGAAAAATGTTTCTTCCGACAGTACTACTTTAAATTATTATAATCATGACGATAGTATGGACAATACATACAAGTCTACGCTTGTAACAAATATGAATAGTGGTTACAATAATCACATGGATGACAGTAAAACTGTAACTGCTCAGTTTGATTATATTAATAATGATCATCACAAATCTACTTGTAATGATATGTCAGTTCAAACAAAGGATGATAATTTAGACCAAGCTAAACGCTTACCTGTTTTAAATGGTTCACTATTATCGTTAGATGATAGCGATGATAGTCCTCGTAAGGCGATAACAGATCAATTTGTTCAACAACAGGTAGGTATACATTTCGTCGTTTACTGCTGCTCCCACTGTGTCGCTACACTTATTTGTTAATTGAAGTAATATGTTTGAAAAGCACATTTTTTATAGTGATATAACCTCACAGTGTTTTTTTAAAGACCCGTATAACTGAAATCGAAGTATGAATACTTCACCAGTTTATTAAAGTATCTAGCCAGAATTCAGATGGTTTGAACGATTAGTCTATGTGAGTTTGACCATGTGCACGTCAACGAGCTAATCTAGTTTGCTGTATTTACTCCAATTGTTTCCGGTTAACTGGCATTATTAATTGTTTTGATGGGTTTCAATTATTTTTCATTGAGTAGTATATATATATGTTTATATAAAGCGACTTATTTATTATTATGATATAAACTTCTAATCAAATCGATATTGTTTGTGTGTGTGTGAGAGTGAAACATTCTTAGGTGTTTTGTAACTTCAAGGTTACTGCTCTAGGATTCCAGATTTTTCAGGATTGTTGTTTGAGAGGGTATAGTTAGGGAATAATAAAAACTTTGGAGTTTACTCTACACATTTTAACTAGTGAGTGGATGTTGTTTTGTTGTTTAATATGCTTTCAGATAAGTTGCATAAAACGCAATAAGCCACTGAGTACAAATTTCGATACTGCTAATCCCCAGTTATAAGTAATCAGGCTATTTAAATATTTATGTCTTGAAGTAGTTCAAAAGTACTTAGTATTCTTTTTTGCTGTGTGTTCACTGATGTGTTTATATTGTGTATTATTCTACCACATTATTTAAGTATTCACTTTAAGGTGTATTGCGTGTTTTGCGTAAAATTTTCGCAGACCTATCCATAATATATTTATTTGAAGTTTTATCATTATTGTCACGTTGGTGCAGACATATTTAAACCAGTTGGAATATATCCCTTTACCTCTTACATTTTGCATTATAGCAACATTCGACCGTCTTATATTCACTCTTTTTCTGATGCTTGAATGCGGTGTATCAACTTGACACATAACACTTTTACTTTGTCTTCTACATTTAACTCCTCATATCATAGCCAATTCATGTTTTCTGTAAGGTGATAAAATGTATCGATTAGTTTGGTGAGATAATACTTCAAGCCTTTCTTCAGATTTGTCTACGCTGATAGTCTCGGGTAATACAATCTTCAGTCTAATCGGTACTCATAGATTCTGGGTATTTTTTCTTTTCTATATCGCTTCTTTCAACCGTCTCATGTGAGCTGCCAAGTGTAAATTAGTTATGGTTTCTCCTAATGCCTATGATAATTAAGCTTGTCATTTGTTAGAAACTATGACAAGGTATACTCATTTTTAGGCAGTAAATTTTAGTTATTCAAGGTTTTGGACATTTCTACCGAAGGTTGTCTGCATTCACTCATTCCCTATTGTATGTTTATTTCATTTTGTTTTGATATATTTGATATTTAAAGTTTCTCGTCTGCTTGTATGAATCCTATTAGTAACGATAAGCTGTGTTCTGCTTATCCATCTCCATTCTATGTACGCCCAACTGTATACACTGTGCAAATTTTACAGATGTATATAGCCTTTATGCCTTCTGACATTTTAGGATGTATTGGCTACTAGGTGGTTTTGTTTAATATGAAATCCAAAGTTAATTACTATGCCTTCTTTTGAAAAAAAAATAAATTTCTAGCTTATCCGTTAATTAATACAGATTAAATGTTAATTAGGTGGTGATTTCTATGGAATTACTACCTTGATTTGATGAAAGTGAATAGACTGAGTACATACATATATATAATTGCACTGCTTCACCTTACGTTTAAATTTTTTGTAAATGTCATCGTAATTGATGTGTTTGTGTGCGTGTGAATGTACACTCATTAAATGTTGGCTATAGTGGTCTCTCGTGTCTATGCTGACGGATGTCTGAAAATTCTCGGTTGTCTGAAAATTCCTACCTGTTTAAGTCTTTACACATGAATGTAGCTAGAATTCAGTATTTCTGGACGATAACTAACAAAATTCTAGTTTCTCTGCTGTAAATGTCAGTTGATATTATACATGGAGAAAGAAAACGAAAACAAATCGCCCGACCGAAAAAGAATTTACAGACATTCACCATGTGCTGATTAATCAGTTACTAGCAATACTTGTAGTTTTGGGGAGTTAAGTATTTAACTGTAACTTGGGTACCTTTCGATTACTCACTGGTTCCCTAGCTGTTATCAGTTCGTCATAAGATCCATCTTGAGACTGTAAGAATTCTTGGTGAAAAATTCTCCTTTGACTGTTTGGTTGTCGATTCAATCAATGAGCACTAAACATCATGTTGTCTCATTTATTTCATTCGTTTTCTATTCTTACGATTAGTTTGATATTTTAAATCAGCGCTGCTATGCATACTTTTGAATTTTGCAGTTATGAGTTGTATACGAATAAGAGTCCTCTGCATGTAGTTGGTTTCTTCTGGGTAAATGAAAACACTGCTGAATAATGTAAGTGAAAGTCGTGTCTTTATGTAATTAAACATAGTTATGCATTTACTACACTTCTAAACAGTGCCTAGAAATTAAGTGATGTTATAGCAAATGAATAATGGTTTAAAAAATCAAGAGTAAAACGATGGCGAATAATGGAGACCGTAGAAATCTTGCCGATAAAGTGTAAATGAGTCTGCATCACATAACTTTCAACATCGAGTTTGTAAGAGAAAATTAATTATTTTTCACAAGCTATATTTCATATCTCTGAATTTCCATTTTTTTTCAGTAGTTGCCAATATATTATGCAGAGTCAGACATTGAAACTTGTATGAATGCAATCATAAATATAATTAGTAACAACATGTTGTGACCTAACTATATTGCCTAGACTATTTTATTTATGAGGCGCATCATTCGTGAAGTTATGTAACATAAACTTGCCTCTAACTGTTTGAGAATTTTAATTCTTAGCTTAGTGTTCTGTAAATTCTCAATGTTGTAAGTGACTAAATCATTACCGGTTATGATAATATTAGAAACTCTTCTTGCACCATAATCTAGGAAGTCGTATTCTCGTTGTAATATAAATTAATACTAATACTAATATAATATAAATACTAATACTAATAACTAATACTAACATCGTTTACACGTTTGGTGAACCTGTATGAGATATAACAACTTGAACCACAATGCAAGGTCTTGTGTTTACAATGTACTGCTGGTCGACTTTACTCACTTCTAACTTCATGATACATGAAGATGTTGGTGGTTAAATTTTTATTACTAGTTGTTAGCTGTTTGTCGGTTTGTGACAAGAAGGGAAACAAAACACAAAAAGGTCAGCAAAGACATATTTTTAGTGATTTCATCCCCAAAAGATGTACAATCGCATTTTTATATATAAGTCCGCATAATTACAATTATTATTTAATTCAGTGTATTGGTATTAGAGACGATAACTTTCAACTCGATATGAAAGCCTACAGCGGCATAGAAAGCAAATACTGCAGGATCAGAAAAATAGTTGCATAATGTTCAAAGTAGTTTTTGAAGAGGTCTGATATAAACAGAATGGGCACAGAAACAGACTGAAATAATAAATTTCAATAACTTAAGATGAAAAAGTATTCAGGGAAAAGCGAAAAGGAAAAACACAAGAAGGATTAAGAAACTAGGCAGAACTAAATCTCTCTAATATCCTGATGGATATTTTTCACGAGTTTTAATGAAATGAACAACTTCTCAAGTCAAATTGAACCCACGTGAATAAGTTTTCACTTTTTATAATTATTTTAAAATACTGCATAATGAGTACCGAATATCTAGATAAACGTGAAATAGTAAGTCATTGGCTAACTGTCGTCGTTAGGTAACTCTGCTTATTGTCAACTTCTTCATCGCTTGTTGACACTACTGATGATTTCACGAATCAATATCAGTTAGATAGATCACTGGAAATCAGGGAGAACTGAAAGTCTATTTCTTTCTATTTTGAGACTCTTCCTCATTGCTCACCGGCGATCCCACTAAGGATCGAGTGTGGGACATTCAGGTTACGAGACCAAGCTTGTTGACTGTTCAGCCACTTCGGCTGAACATCGCCAGTGCCTTCGATGAGCATCCACTTCACTCTGACATGGTGGAACCCACTGGTCACGACTTCTCACTACAACTTCAGTTGCCATCAATAAGCTAGCGGTTGTTATTCGGCTTATGGGATAATGCTAGATAGTGGTTCGAATTGAATTACATCCGGAATTTCACCTAACTCAGTCTAGTTAGTTTAACAGATTGGTGTTCGAATCTCATTAGTTTTTTTATTGGATGTATCACTCACTAGAAAATGTTTATAATAAGTTTAATTGTTCTTAATCACAGTTATTGTACTTATACAACTTCAAAACTCAGTTGTTATAGTTCTCGTTCTTCTTCGCCATTTGTCGTGAGTGTAATATAATTTTCTAGATGTCCGGGAAAAATGTATAATTCCTATTCCATATATTTTCATTTAATTTGATAGTGATTCAGTTATATGTCTGTGCCTTTACCTTATTATTATATTAGGTTTTAAGACTGTCACTTTTTACGAGTCTATTTTACGGATGTGTACAGCTGCATGTAATGTTATATGCAGCTCAGATCTCTGCTAGATGTTTTTCTTTTAATATTAGGATATACCAGTCTATATTTCACTGGGTTTTAGTGGTCCACTAATCTGATTCACCTGGGCCTACCTGTGTGTTTGACCTCAATGCATTGTAGGATAATTTTTTTCCTTCACATTCCCCAGTGGAACATAGGGCTTCAAGCTAGAGGCTTGAAGTTTCTGTAGCAGTGGTGTTTATTTTACAGGATGGGGTTGCTAGCATCATGCCCAACCTTTCCTCTTCACCAGGATTATTTCTGGCTTAGCGAGGTAAAGGAGTGCGTCGGCCGGGGATCGAACCCCGGAACATGTGCATGGTCGGCTAGTGTCCTAACCGCTATGCCACCGGCGTACATTTTAGAATATTAGATAAACTAAATTATTTTGTTTA